GACAGCTGTTTGCACTGAGCGATTCCGCTTTTGTTGCGAGCCTGCTCTGAGGAGGTACTCTGAGAAGTAATCCGCTCGACTTGGCCAGGGAGTGGTGCTTTGAAGCCGGGTAGAATCCGCGCTGCCATGCAGGGGTGGCAACTGCATTTGCGTACAGCAGGACGAGTTATTGCAATGTTTTCCCAAGGATTTCACACTGATTAGCATTTGGACACTCGATTAGTCTTGCTGTATCCGCCATTGCCGTAACTGTAGCTGTCTTTAGTCGACAGTCGATTAAGACAGCTATTTTCCTCGCGTTGTTGATAACCTTCATCTCCCAGGCACACGCCAACACAGAAATTCGCCATACCTGCCTGGTAATACAGATTAGCGCATACACAAAGCAAAGGTTGACAAAGACGATTTGAAATATTTTAAGATTGGCTCCAAAATGCTCTCTTTTCAGGTGTTCCCTGGCCTTATCCGATGGCGAGGGGATATGGTGCTTAACAATGAAGTCAACGGTAAAACTGCTTTAACCTGCGACTGCTGTGGGTCGGGTGGGGGGTGACAATATTAAGTAGCCCTCTTGGTATCTAGAATACTTTTGTACCCTTCGATGCAGGTTTACTAAATCTTAAGCATTGCTATATTATATATTAACTATTACTAGACATATTATAATTTTGATGTTTTATGTAAAAGCAAAAGCAAAACAGAATCAATAGTTCTGGGATATTATTAAGTATGATTAAGTATATTATCATTTTGGTGCATTAATGTAAAAATGAAAGGCAAAACAAAATTGATGTTTTGGAAAAAAACGTTACGGAGACATTGCAGGTTAAGCAACAGGGTTATTACGTCATAAGTGATGGGCTACAACGCTGCTTTTGCTTCTACGCACCAAAGCTAGCGCTCTCATTTCTTGCTTTAGATCGTTTTGGTGTAATCCGCCCACCGGTTCGACCGCCTGGCTTCCAATGTCCAGCATGCTATACGGAACCACACCACGACACCAAAAGAGACGGGTAATGGTCAGGCTATACATGTCAGACCGAAAGGATTCGTGCCACCCATCTGTGATTCGCATCAGCCAGTAGGGCTAACATACTTCTCAGCCAATCACTTCCATGCGAAGTGCACGGATGTCCATGATTAGTTCGGTCAGAAGTTAGAATCTACCACCCAAAGTCCCTCAAACTTTCACTTTTCAACGCTGTCTCCTCCTTTATCCGGACAATGTGTACCATCACCCCAAACAGCTTTGAAAGCTCATGACACAACATGCGCATTGCACTACTGACCGAGCTTCAGTGGCTGGGAATCGATTCAAGACATTTATGGAATAATCTTAATGGACGGTGACGTGTGGTTAGAAGTGATTCAGCATCACTTTCCTTGCCCCACGGTATCCCCAGGAGTCTCGGGCTAACCTAATCATCTACCGAATCTTTACGGACGACCTGATGGGTGCCTGCTTTTCTCATTCCTACACCGTTGATAGCCGGCTTCTCGACTCGGTCTACTCGGACCACCTGTCAACCATAAACTCTCGACAGGAGGAAAACATCCTTGCCTTCTCATCTAACTTCACTACCGATTCTCCAAAGACGAACTCTATCAAAACTACCCTTCTTCTAATCGCCACACCCTAGCCCATTATTATATCTCGTCTCTTCGACATATAGGGAGTGTTCCACATACACATGGGGTTTTGAATTGAAATAGCCATCTTGAAGGCCTTTTTGTGCTGTTTGCAATCCTGCCGTTCTTGAGCCCTCTAGATTCTGGGCTTCACGCCCGTAAAAATTGGAAAGGTATACCGGGAGGAGTACTTCAAAGTCACCTTGGCATTCATGACGCCATAATGACGTCATTCAAGTGCTGCCATTCCATAAGCCATGCAGCGATCAAGGCGAAGAAAAATGTATTTTTCAAGGCGCTCATATCCGGCGTTCGTGAACACGAATTCCAGATATAATGGCCGCCAATTCGCTCATAATCAATGCAACGCAAGGTACCATGACATATAAACCGCCCCGCATTGAGGATCATGAATACTAAACAGAGAATAGTACAGTCTAGAGTGGTCTTTCCCACTCCAAAAGTATATAAATACTTATAAGTGAGCTTGTTTTGTTATATCTCATGCTTGCCTCAGCATCTCCAAATGTGAAACATTCGCTTTAAAGTCACCAACATTATATTGACCTAATAACCGTCCGTGAGAACTCTTGGAGTCACCATCGACCGTACGCTATTTGGGAAAGCACACACATCCAGCTTAGTCCAAAAGTGGAATTTCAGCCTGCATGTAAGATTCGTCACCATCTCACGCCCGAGAGCAGTCGAAACCAGCAAACTACTTATTCGGACCCAGGTTTCCCTGAGATAGTGTACTGGCGCTCAGTCTGGGACGGGGCGTCGCGTGCTTTCTCAGACGCGTGCAAAAGGTTGTGAATTTCGCGGCCAGGGTCGTCCCCGGGGCGGGAGTTCGAGATCACCTATCTCCTGGTCCTGGAGTCACTGGGCTGGCACAGCATGACTAGCTTTGTTACGCGCCGGGACCACATTTGCGTCCTCAGCACCCCTAATGACGCCCGCACCCGTAGGCGGTCCGGTAGTTGTTCACCCCCCTCGCCAAGTTTAGAAGTGAGCGCGTCATGAGGTCGGTGGTGGCTGTTGCTCTAGAGCGGCACGTTTTCCAGCTGTCGACGTCGCCCAAGATGTTTTCGTATCACGCGTCCTCGTCCGGAAACCATTGCAGCTTCTCGGAGCCGTGCTGTGTTGCTACCTAGTCTTGACTATAAACATTTGTCACGTTCATGTGACAAACCAGGATCGTATTTGACATGAATAAATTATTAAGCCATGCATGTAGAACGATTCGTAATAAATTCACGCTGATGATTATTGAGGTTGAGAAGCTCATTCGGGGTAAGTTCTGCCACTTGTTAGTTAGAGTTAGCGCGTTCCACACTGAGTATCTTTTATGTTTGCGAATATCCAGACGAATGATCGATGGTGCATGACGCGGGGAATAAGCAGGGCCTGTGATAGTTCCTGTGTCTTGTTTCAGCAGCAAATCCGCTGCGATCCTGGATCTTTGTCCAATGGTCGTAACAAAAAATTGTCTCAGTTGGAACAAAAAATCGACGTCAACCAATCTGGAATGTTTATATATGTATATATATATATATATATATATATATATATATATATATATATATATATGTAAATATACATGTATATATATACATATGTGTGTGTGTGCATGTGTGTATGTGTGTGTGTGCGTGTGTGTGTGTGTGTGTGTGTGTGTGTATGTGTGTGTGTGTGTGGTGTGTGTGTGTGTGTGTGTGTGTGTGTGTGTGTGGTGTGTGGTGTGTGTGTGTGCGTGTGTGTGTGTGTGTGTGTGTGTGTGCGGTTGTGTGTGTGTGTGTGTGTGTGTGTGTGTGTGTGTGTGTGTGTGTGTGTGTGTGTGTGTGTGTGTGTGTGTGTGTGTGTGTGCGCGTGTGTATGTGTATGTGGTAACACCACCAAGATTTCCGAAAATTCCATACATACTCTGTTCATCTGGTTGGCATAGGTGGAACTCCGTGCCCGGTAGAAAACCGATGTGCTTCCTCGCTTTTACTCCTTCGATTGGCGTCAGTATTTCGCAGTAGGATCTTGTCTAGCGTAATACCTGGACGACAAAAATTTATAGATCCGCAAGATGTAGTTTCTTTCAATAATGGCTGACGCGCATCGATGCAGGCCTGTTTTACGGTTAATGAAGCATCCACGGATCCCCCACCTGCCACGGACCTTTGACATGATCTCTCCAATACTCGTACGATGAATGGCTTTTCGTTAGAACCAAAGGTGAGCATAAATATCACGGGTGGTTCTTAACCGTTCCTCTTCGGCGAGTTACTTCACTCAAACGCATGGGTCTTGGACTTTCGGGGCAATTGGCAGCCGACTGGTATTTGTGTCCATCCCGCCACCTTTTAATAACTTTATCACCTTTAACAGAGTGCTATAGGATAATGACCCATCTGGGCACTACATGTAACCAACTGCAGCGTCGGGCGTCTTACCACCCTTCGCACTCGAAAACTACGCGACGGCGCGCTGTCCGCACGCCGTAGGTTCTCCCGTCTTGCTGTAGTTGGACACACTCCCGTTCCGATGCGCCGCATGCCGATGCCCAACGGCCAAAATGATACCAAGTTTTAGAACCAGGCAACTTATGAATTATACTAATATACTCGCGGGCCAATGAAGTGCACGTCCATGATGCGCTCACCAAAGTGGTAAACGGAACGAATAACAGGATTCATCGGCAAAATTATTGCTGTCCATGAGCGGCAAGTATAAATTTGCACTAGACTCTGTTAGTGGCGTGAACCAAAATGGCAAACAATTGCAAGGAATTTTGCCATCTAGGCATTACCTGACGTTAACTCACAATTTTTGTTGCAGTCGTGGTATAATTATGAAGGGCGAATCCCAATCTCACTGACGTGACTAAGAAATGTATATTTACCGTGGGAACGGACGCCGGAGGTGCTCAGTTCTTTAGAAATTTGGATGATCGTTGAGGTATTTCGTGCAATCTGTGATGTCATGGGTCACGTGACAGATGCCATCGTAACCATTTCCAGGGGAGGTTGGATGACGGTTTGTGACTAGGCCATCTATTGCCGCCTAAATTGTTCTGATCCGACGATGAGCTCTTGAGACAGCGGAGCGAGTGTCAATAACCCCGCGATTGGTGCGAATGGCTCTTGAGACAGCGGAGCGGGTGTCAATAACCCCGCGGTTGGTGCAAATGGAGAACTGCTGAGGACAGTGACGGGTTTATTTCACACGGGGATGGACTGTATTGCATGAGCGCATGTAAGTACATGTATATAACATGTAGTATACGGGCAAGTGGCTCTTTGGCCGCTAGTTCCTATAACGTCGGCAGCTCCCATGCGACGCATGTCACAAGCACTGATCTCCCGTGTCCCTCCACCGGGCAGGGCCTGGCCGTGGAACACGGCGTGGACGTGCACAAGACCCACGACGTCAGCAACTACCTATCCTTCAGCCATCAGGAGAAGCTGAAGGACATCGCCAAGCAGACGAGGGAGGCTACCAGAGGTGGGAACGCTGCAGCGCAGTGCTGCAGATTCTGTGTCGTGACCATGTGAATTCGTAAGACGCCGCCGTCCACTCGAGCCAAATCATCTTATGCGTTTCATGAGATGATTTGATTAGTCAGCATAACTTCTACACTCCCGGTGCGACATTGTCAAACTGGCAAATACATGGCAGCTGTATCTTTCGTAAAAATCAAACGACAACAGGGCAGGTGACCATTGCATCCTTCTTTTCCAAACATACAATTAAACAGAGCATAGTTAGGTTGCGGATTCACATCGGTTAAAAACGGATCACAAACGAGGAAAACAAAATGACGCAACACACAAACAAGGTATACGCTTTTGATATGCTTAAGTTAAATTTGTGTTTCGAAAATTGGATTTCGCTCTGGGTGAAAATTGTATTCGCTCCGAAATTGCAAACGTTCCGAAAATATTTCAAGTTGCACGTACTTACGCGGACTTACATAAGCATGCTCTGAGGAAGGCGACTTTAGACAAAGGCAAATTGTTTTGGACATTCAAACTTCAGCTGATGCATGGCTCTGCGTTTAAATTCCATCAGATCGAAGAAGCAGTACGCAAACTCGGTGCGGTCTCGAAGAGTTAAGCGGAGTGCCAGCGACGTGCTCCCGTATCAGATCAGGAACACTTGGCTTCGTATGAACTCAGGAAAAGATTCCACGGCATGGCGAATCTAACGGGCCCTGACCGGGGTACCCCACCTTTCCCTGATTCTCCTCCTTAAGTTTCGAATTTCGTTACCAGATAATGTATTAGTTCATGACCTAAGCGTAATGTTTAAGTTATTCAGTGACTATTTTCGTATATTTTTAACTGAACCCGATGGAACATTACACATTGAGCTGGGACGCATCCCCCGGGGCGAAGACGAACATGGAGTCGTTAGTGAGCTCAATACCGCAACCTAGACCGCGGCGGGCTCGGAGTCGTGTCGTGCCGCTGGAGCTGGAGCCCAGCCGACTTTGGCACTCGCCGAACTAGCATCTCATACAGTTCCCCCCGGGCTTGTCAACAACAGGCTGGCATGAGCTGTCTCGGCGCCACGATTGTAGAATAACGCCCCTGGGATGGAGCATAAATTAGGATCCGCGAATGAATACAGGGCCGATGTTTTCACTGACATATCACTGACGGTCGCTCTCGTCGCTATCATTTCAGTTTCTATTTAAATGTGTTTGTTAAGTTAGGCTGATATGGGATTGTCTGAATGGCCCGGATGATAACATGAGAGACAGATGCATTTGTATGCCGCTGCGAGGCCCCAGTAAGCTCAGATAAACCTCAGTGTGCTGGCTAAAATTTTGTTGAATGATATGACGGAGGGGTGATGTAAGACTCATCGAACGTGTGAAAAGCTATAGTTTCACATCAAGACGTGTTTGTAGGAAGGCTCTCAGTCTTGGGCCTCCCTCAAGTTTGGACATCGACTCAGGGTTCAAGAATGCCAAGGCCAAAAACGTGTGCGCAGTGCATAAAAACTTTGGCTATGAGTGTATTGTCTAATAACGCTGCTACAAGTTTAACGAGTGTTACAAACTAACACCACATGACGGTGTGAGAGTAATGCCACCGCTCAGGGCTTTGCGTAACTAAGCCGCAGTACTGTACGTTGTGCCGCGTGTGAAATATTTCCTGTCACTCTCTGTGGCTGTTTGTCTGGAGTGCCGCTGACTGACATAACACCTGCACAGTGCGTGCTCAAATTAGTGCAGTGAACACACTTACAACGAGAGCCAAGTTAAAACACTTTCCCCGGCACCATTATTTGTGATACGATATTTATGCTTATGATCATACTGCGTCTTTCAAATCTCATCACGCAAAAACTGAGCGATTATCACCCCGGAGTATATGTTTATCATAGTCAAAACACCCTCGACACATCCACCTTCGACACATACACCTTCGACACATACACCTTCGACACATTCGACACATACACCTTCGACACATATGTGGCGGGGTTTGCTGTGTTTTGACAAAAGTGTGTTGCAGTGTACGTGTTTGTGGGAGAGCACATTCTCCTGGTCGACTTCGTGCAGCACATGTACGCCTCGGGCTACCTGGAGACGGGAAAGTACGCTATCATCGCGGTCGATGAGGAGATCTACGATCCAGACGTCAACCCAGAGTGGTACATGGTCAAAGGTAGGTCCGGAGTTGTACACGGTCAGATATAGGTCCACGTGTGATATATGGTTAGGGGTAGGTCTCGGAGTGGTACACGAGCAGGTGTAGGTCTTGGTGGAGTACATGGTCAAAGGTAGACTTCGGAATGGTACACGATCTGATGCAGGTCCTGGTGTAATGCATGGTCAGAGGAAGGTATCGAAACACTGCACACTCAAATGTGCACGAGGTCCTTGCGTGGTACCTAAACGAACATAATATCGAAACATCAAGTGGTCAGATACTATGTCTCCCATAGTGGCACATGATCAAGTGTATGTCCTGGAGCTGTGCGTGGTCAACGAGAGATTTCGAGGTGGTGATGGTCGGGGGTAATGTATAGGAATGTATAGTAAGATCGGGGTAATGTATACTAAGCTGTGGATCCCGGAGTGATATGTGTTGAGGCACGTGCATTCGAGGTAGCAAAAAGTCAAATGTAAGTTTTGGATAGGTAAGCAGGGGACAAAACACAGGTTTTTGAGTGATGTACGGTGAAATGTGGGTCCCGGACTGATGCATGGTCAAAACGTGTTCTAGTGTAGTTCCAAGTGCATTTAATCAAGTGATCCCAAAACGTTCACTGGCCTTGTATGTGTGATAGGTTCGTGTGAATAAACAAAGGTCGCGTGGAGTGGAAAGAGGTAACTAGGAGGTAAGCATGTCAGTGAAGTGGTCCGTGATTGATAAGTGCTAATGAGTTGTGAGTACATTGGTGTTTACCTAGTTTTTACGGAGCATTCACGATGAGGTACAATGTTAGGACATCCATGATTTAGTTCTCCCATAGTAAATGTATGCTGCTCCGAGGTTTGTTTTCTGAAGGCCTTAAATAACAACTAAGTGCAGTTAAAAGGCTTGGTTTGTTTTGTGAGGGCATACCCCACATTTTATAGAAAGGGTCGAGGCATGAAAAGAATGAAATTGACAAGAATGAAGTTAAAACCCATGATACACCAGCAGATTGCTGGAACTCGCAATGTTTATGAAATGACACTAGCAATGCTCACTCATAGCACACGCAAGCATTTGATTAAGGCTTATGCCGTGCGTGCAGTCATATTCCCGCTGGTGACGTGTTGTCATACCGCTCACCCTCCAGCTGCCCTATCCCACCTGTCATACCGGTTACCCTCCAGCTGCTCCATCCCACCTGTCATACCGCTCACCCTCCAGCTGCTCCATCCCACCTGATATACCGCTCACTCTCCAGCTGCTCCATCCCACCTGACATACCGCTCACTTTCCAGCTGCTCCATCTTACCTCCAAACCGCTCACCTTCCAGCTGCTCCATCCTACCTCCAATACAGCTCACCTTCCAGCAGCTCCATCCCACCTCCAATACCGCCCACTTTCCAGCTGCGCCATCCCACCTCCCACACCGCTCACCTTCCAGCTGCTCCATCCCACCTCCAATACCGCTCACCTTCCAGCTGCTCCATCCCACCTCCAATACCGCTCACCTTCCAGCTGCTCCATCCCACCTCCAATACCGCTCACCCTCCAGCTGGAAGGTTCTGTTCAAGGCCACTGCAGGTTTGTTTAATGTCGCCGCTTTTCCACGGGTTTTTGGCTACTGCTCAAGACGATCCAGGTCCAACGTGGAAAAAAGGGATAGAAGGCGAAGCTGACCCCATGCTACTTCAAGCACTCCACTTATTGAGGGCCTGAAGTGGCAAGCAGCACAGAAATGCTCACGTAATTTAAGCTTGCTAGGCGCTTGATTTATGCAGACAGCAGGCTTCAGCAGTGTTGTGGAAGAAAACGGTACATACATTAAGTAACACCTAGCACAAAGGCACATGCTGCACGGAGAACATGTCTGTGGTGCATATCATTACCTGCTTGTATACTGGTGAGTAGATATGTTACCTTGGTGTTTTTTCTGATGGGTGTCTTTCCATGGGGCAGGTAATAAAGCTGCTGTCTTAATGAATAATTTGTTATGAGTTTTGAGCTAAGATTGCTTCCGTCACGACACAGCTCTCGGGCTGGTTCACATGTTATGATCTTTGGACTGTGCAAACACAGCAGTTTGTGCCACCTAGCCATCAGTCCATATCAGCCAATGCTGTTGACTACAAGGATATCAAAGCAGTATTTCAACCCTGGTATGTCAAGAAAGCAAATAGCGACATTCTGACTTGCCAGTCCATGCCAAGTCTGAATGACAATGCTGCCCTCAGGTATTGATGCTGCCTTGGACGGGGAAACGCAACAATAACTGAATAATTTTTGCCTCTAACTGTTGCAGCATTCAGGAGTCATTTCTGTAGCTTAGCTCATTGCTGCAAGCTGCTCATAAATGCATTAGTGTGGGAGTAGGTGATATGCTTCCTGGGCTGGGCAAAGTACATGACATGATGCTGTGTGGCCCATCTGATCAGAGTGTGGTTAGTGTGTGAGTGCCATTGGCCAATACAAGAAAATGCTGATTTCTTGCTAGCCCTTGCATGGCAGCCAATATTCAGGTGTCACAGGCACCAGGTGTGTCTTAAATGTCATCCTAAATGATGCCAGTCAGAACAGCAAGCCATGATCTACATTGCAGGATCGAAAGCAGTGCCCTTGCTTGCACTTTTTGGAGCTATTGTCATGCATGGATGGCCTGATGCAAGTTACTTTAACGTCATCTCTGCCATTGCCATTGAGTGGCTTATAGTTTTATTTACCAGTTCACTTCCTTGTCATTCTTGATGGCATACCTGCGACCAAAGAAACTGATTCTAGCAGAAATATATGCTGCAATATCCGTGAGTCGGTTTTTCCTGTTTTAGGCAAATTTCTGTGATCGTGCTCCTTTCGATGCACAGTATTGACACGTCTTAAGTCCACTAGGAACATTTTCATATAACACTAGCTATGGGGAAGATTTGGCAGCGCCGACTATACAAATTTTGTGTTTTAAATGTTATGGCTTGTGCTGTGGCTATTAAGCCTAGGAGTCCCGCACAGATCGTTTTTCCAACGGAGTCCATCTTCCTCCTCGCTCTCAAAGCCGTCTCGCGCCCACCACGGCCCTTGACATTCGCCGTCCATACGCAGAGTGCCGCCATTTTTTTTTTTGTTCAGGTCGCCTCAAAAGCGCAGTTTTTGCCCATAATCCGCTCCTTGATTCGAACTAAGCGGGATCGAACTACCGACCATTAATTCGACGTATAGCATGTATCGCCCATGTAAACGCACCTCGGCGAGAGGTTTAACGTCGCATGATCCGTTCCGATCTTGATTGAAATTACCCTCGACTGCCCATGTAAACAGGGTATATTATAGACGGGAAGGCGAGACCGATCGGCGGTTCGATCCCACCGTTCTTTAGGTGTGGTTTGGCGTGAGATTTTGCATGGCGGAGAGGCTGTTAGATCGATATAATCGCCTCGTTATAATAGAACGGAGGTCGGGGTTGGCAGGGTGAATGTGAGATTATCACACGCGCCATCACACGTGCCGTCACACGCGCATGTGAAGTCATCACGTGCGCCACAGACCCGAATGTAATGTCACCACACGCGAATGTGAGGTTATCACGCGGGAATTTGGGGTCATCACGCGGGAATTTCGGGCCATCACGAGCGCCCTGGCGTAGACCCCGATCGAATGAGAATGATATCGAATCGCTTTTGTCAATTGCTTTAGCTAGGCCATATTGCAAGTCTGCGGATAGGTGACACAAGAGTACATAATCTCGAAGTGAGTCCTCACTTCGAAATGAAAATGTTTGCACTGCGAAACTCAAGCAACCAAGGATAACGACTGAGGCGCGTTGGTACCTCAAGGAGAGGGATGACCCCCTTCCTCGTGGACAGGCCCGCTGCCTTGGCTTGTCGGTCGCTCGTGGAGCAGTGATGGCGCCGTCGATGAGATGTGCCGATGGCTTAACTATGCCGCGGAATTACGGCGGATAAGTTTGCTGCGAGAAACTTCAGGGTGGTGGGCGTCATTGTGCTCGTGATTAAGCCCAAGAGAGTGAGTTGTGATGTGATTAGGTTGGGTTGGCTTCTGTCATTGAAGCTGGTTGAGAGGTGAGGGAATTATGGGCTAGCTGTCACGTTATACGTCGTCGTCATTAGGGCTTCACGACGTGCTCAACTGCTGAGGCTATGTGGTGTTGCCTGCCTCTCCCCCTGGCAGAAAGGGCGGGCACGGAGGTGAATCGAACCTTGTAGCTCTGGTTTCCCAGACACACAGCTTTTAACCACACTCTCGGCACCACTCGCCACATCATGCATCGCATGGCGGAAGACTATTGATATGGGCGTAATGTATGACCGGGGGGCGTTAGATACAATGTTTGCTGCTTCAAGGGCTCAATCGATTGATATGTATCAAGTAACCTGCCAACGTAGGGTGTTAGATGTCTAGCTTTATCGTCGTGTGGGTGTAAGGTTACGCTCAAAAGCTGGGGAGAGTGAAATAAACGCAAGCCAAGAAACTGTAGGTTTTGTTTATGAAAACCTCTTCGTAGGTAAAAGGAATGTTACACATATAAAGGTACTGAAGCAAGCATCATACATGAAGAAATAACCTCACTGATAAATACTGAGTTGCTTTTAAGCGCAAGCGATTGCGCTTTGCATGCTCGGTCATGGTGCTATTCTGAAGTCATTGCATATCCAGTCTTACTTCCGTCATAACCCGTACCACTGCCCAAATTCCTGTATTAGGTACCACAAAACGTAATTCGTGCTCGAAACTTTTCTTCCACACATTACATTGGTTGAAGGCCAACTCACGTCATGTCATGTCATGAATCGTGCTGACATAGCCAAGCAATAGTAATTCGATGATCATATTTTTGTTGACCTCGGTCACTACATGGCCAAAGGTGAGACGGTATTCGTGTGACGCTGAATTAGTCTGCACGAAAAAGTCTGGCAGGTTTGCGGGCGTGAGGCTCAAACAGGGTCTTAAACCGGTCATATCTGTGAGCTGCATTGTCTGATCTTTAAAATCGCTATCACACTTCAAAACCCCATTC